TTGAGATTGTCTTTTTTGTTTCAGTCGTATGTTGCACTTATAGGTCAAAAATAATGAATGCTATTTTTATTTTTAAAAAAAATGTGTTTCGCAGGTATGTTGTACATATGGGTAAAATGACTTGGGCCACGTCGGACAGTACACACACTGTACCTTCCTGATCATTGTCAGGAAAGTGTAGATAACAAGTAAAAAAATATGGTAAATACCTTTCCTGTTGATTCGCTGTACCCAAATGTTGCGTAGATGGCTGTTCTTCGGAAAGCGATTCCAGGACACATGCTTGGCAGTGAGAGTGGTGTGGGCACAGCCCGGTACACAGCAGGTTGTACCGCCCGTCATGTGGCTTCTGAGGGTGACCTAAGAAGATACTACATTCAGCTGACATCTCGAATAGTGAAATAAATAAGTGAAGTGACCATCAGTTTCAAAGTTGCAGTTGCTGACATAACTCGCTTGCTAAGGGCCCGCTCAACTCACAACCGCTGTTAAGAGCGATTGTGAAGCTATGCGATGTACTACATACGCATACCAGCCGCGACGATGAATCACCGGCGCTCGCGGACGGTCAGCGAACGCGAGAAAAGTGACGCCGCGCGGACGGTTGTTGACGAGCGCTGCCGAGGCACGCCGACCGCTGGTACAGCTTCGCAAGCGTCCGAAGGGCAAAAAGATCGCAACGACAAAGCACCGTCCCGAATGTTGAGCACGCAAGCAGTACTCGATATCCCACGCTCACATTTCACAGGGCGAGCGCATCACGAAGCGAAGGCATGTCGGCCTTCGCTTCGTGATGACTACTTTATTTCTCTGCTTACAGCGGTGACATTTGTAGTGATGTTCGAAACTGCTCTCTCGCGACCGCACACGAGTTAAATGAACGGCCTAGGAGCGGGATAGAGCGTAACGGCAACAGTCAGTACTCACCCCGGGAGCGGCGAACGAAGCGGCGTGGTGTCCGTCGACGGCCGCGTCGAAAACGATGGAATATGCACAAAAACACGTAATATACAGAAGAAATACAAAGCGCTGAACGAAATAGATACACTTATGAACAAGAAAAATACACTGGAGTAGATAAAAAAGAGGATTATTAAGTATAAACAACGAAGATGAAAAGTATGTCTAGAGCGAGGTGATGCGATTCCAACGGAGAGCAGCCAGACGACGGGGGCCGACAGAACACCGATCCCAAGATTCCTCGCGCGCGCGCCGGGGCGCTTGGGAGGACTGCAAATGGTCTATTCGTTTCCTCCTTTACTTATTTTTAATCTGCACATAAGATATTACCAATAAATTAAATTACTTTATGATACATTACACATTTCCACCTCACCCCAACCCACCTAACAGCTCTAACACCCCATCCCTCTTATTTCCTTTCACGGGGACGTGCCACACCGCAGGAATTCTTTTTCTTTCTTGCTCACCGCGATGGAGGGCATGCTCACACATCCATCCACGCTTTCCTCAATGGCCGTGGATGGCCACAGGAATCTCGCGCACAAAGGCATTTCTTGTCTTGTAAAGATGGAAATAATAGCTTCGTTCGATTTACCTGCAACTCCTGCATTCGGGCAGAAAAGTGTAAGTACTGTACTTCCGGTCGGATCCCCATTACACAGACCGGAAGTACACTGCCCCACACTTTTCTGTCCAGTGCAGGAGGTACAGGTAAATCGAACGAAGCTTTTTTTTTTAAACTTACACGGCACCCTCACTTGAGGCAATGGGCTGAAAGATACCCAGCCGTTGCTTTTTCACCAATGTTGCGCGATCACTGACTCGGTCGTTAATGTAGCGGCCCGTTTGCCCGATGCAGTATCCCCCCATAACATGAAAATCTGGTACACAACACCAATTTGACAAGTCGCGTATTGCGTCCTGCGCGCGGTGTTACAGGGGTTCTGGCCATTGGCCTGATTTACTCTGCGGCACATGGAGTTGGCTTTGTTTGGTGCCAAGCACACGACCTGTCGGAGCGCACGACGTCCTGTTGCGAGGTGATCTCTTTGGGTCAGTGGGTGACAGCCTAGATGTAAGGTACCACCGCGATGTTCTTTCGTGTTGTCTGTTTTTGTCGCTCAGTACTTGGTGATTTTCGGTATAATTTCCTGCATATTGTTTCACACACGTCTTATAAGATGACACCTGGATACACGGAGTCGCGAAGCCGAGAGATCTCTTATTGAAAACTTTTGTCAACTTGATGGTGGCATTACGTGCTCAGTGCGGGTACGAGAGCCGTGTTAGCAACACTTCCGTTTGATTATTTTCGATTGGCCAGATGTGAATTGAAGAAAAGCTTTGCTCGAGCGGGGTTCGTGCTTCCAGTGCACATGTCCTTCTTTAAACTCAAGTGCAAGGTCTAGGAACTTGATGGACTTGTGAACGGGTTATTCGTAAATAAACACCAACTCCGGGCAACATTCTTGGAGGCTTCCCATGGCCGTGCTTCTGCACTCGTTAACTTGATTCTCTGTTTCTATGCTGCACAAGATCAGGAAGCTGTCTACGTACTTAAAGATGACTTGGATTCTGGCGTCCTTCAGGGTAGATAAAATGTACTATCGGGGAAACATAAAATGCGAACAGAGGAGCGCGTGGCTTGCGGTACAGGCTGCGCCACCTGGAAGTGAGCCGAGGGGCGAGGGTGCGTGGCCTACTCCGATGTGTTCACGCCCCTCGCTCAGCGCTCCCCAAGCTTCGGCAGCGCGCCTCTTAGTACGCTGAAAGCAATCACCGCTATCTTTGCTGGCTCAGCGCGTGCGGCGAGCTCCTTCGCGCCGCACGCGCTGAGCCAGCAAAGATAGCGGTGATAGCTTTCAGCGTGCTAAGAGGCGCGCTGCCGAAGCTTGGGGAGCGCTGAGCAGCTTTCTCCCCGTAGGTCCAGGCATCGAGGACAACGAAACCTCCATTTTTTATCTGAGACTTGTATATAGATCAGCTTGAACTTTAGAAATGTACTTGAACACGAAGTAAAAAAAATGACCGAAGAGGGCAAACAGCTGACTACCAACGGTGTTTTAGAGTAAACTTTATTGCGAAAATTCTTCTTCATTCAAGTCGAACATGGAGAACGAGAAATTAATTACGCACATAAATAAACCTAATGCACTAATAGATTACTACTGATAATTACACTCCTATAAAGCAATACCAACAAATACACAGAAATATTTAAACATTATTGTTTTTAAACTGAGCCGCCACAAGCTCATGCTGTTGTTGGTCCGGGCGTTACACTTCCTAGGTATTGTCTTTCTTTTTTGTGAACACTGATAGATGGGGTCGCAGTCTTCCGCGTGCTCCTCGATAGCGAGCGCCTCGAGTATTTCGCGTGCATGGGGACTGTTTTTACTGGCAAGGATGGTTGTGGTGTTGAAAGCTGCACTGCACTGGCATATCCTGCAATAAGATGACAGTGTATTTTTTCTTTATGTTTAAGTACAATTTTAAAGTTCAAGCTGATCTATTTTTAAATTGTGTAGCAGCATCCGCAACTATTAATCGTTTTAAATGGAACACAGAGCTGGAGATAGTTTCTTCGTGCCTCCTGCACAGCAGGGCCGAAGCCCATATGCCTGGAGGTCCCAGGCACATTTGGCTTGCGACGCATTCGAGGCCTTCAGAATTACTCTGTGATTTCTGTTCTTCGTTAGCACGGGACGCATTGGTCCGAACAAGGGCAACCTTGTCAACGGCCTCCAGCTGTGGTGCGACAGCATACTTAGGTCCCTGGTCGAGAATGGATCTGGTCTTTTCTGAAAGTTGAACGTCACCAAGTGTAGAGTCAGCGTTGCGTGTGTCGGTTTCGTCTCTCTGGGTCCATAACGCTCTAGCTGACCTTTTCTTTTGCGGTAAATATAGCTCGTAACTTTTTTTTGTATATTCGTGTTATGTTATCCTTTTTCCAACCAAACTGTGAAAAATAAATGTTTTCTTTTTTTTTTGTTTCCACATGTTTTTATCATAATTATTAAATTCTGCTTTCTTGACAAAAGATAGCTAAATTCCCAAGGACTGCAATTGTCTGGGTATCATAGATCGCAAATAAATTAGAATTTTGATAGACGAAAATGATCCCTGGAGAAGGGGAACAAGAGGGACAAAGGACAAACACAAATCTCCTTTGTTCCTCTTGTTCCCCTTCTCCAGGGATCATTTTCGTCTTTCTTGTCCAGCTCGCTTGCACCTTTGCATTTAATTGCATTATAATTAAAAGAATTTTGATATTTGCTTGAAAGTTTTCTATTCCACCAAATGGCCAGAAAATCGGCCATGCTCCCCAATGTTCCAGTCTTTCACTCGGCTCCTTGAAAAGCCAGCGTTTTTCCCTTGCTCCTGCGGAACAGGCCGTGTCATTTCCACGCGTACTGTCATCGATGCCTGCCATGGTTTTCTCAGTAGCCGTATGACCTTGAGCTTCTATTCATGTGCTCCAATCACCAGTTTCGCCGCATTATTTACAACAAGAAAAGCTTTTCGGTGCTCCAGAGAAAGGCTTTAAGGTCCTAACTAACACCTTAAAAGCCGATACGCATCAACCGATCAGTAGTTCCCGAAACTATGGTGCCTCGTACGCGCCTTTGACAGAAGTATCTATCACGTCCTAACTTGTGGTCCAGCAGCGGAGACGAACATGGCAGACGCCTGTCCTGCTGTAGATCACTCTCCAGCTTCACCGTACACGGAAGCTTCAGCAGCCATGAGTCGGAACGCTGCGGCGACAACGACAAGGGCATTCGTTCGTCTTTTTCATGCTACAACGCGTCTGTGTACAGTCAACTGCCATGATCGCGACATTCAACAGCGTGACACGGCGGTTTCTGCGACGTAATTTGTAGCGGGACCGCGTTCGAGTTATGGGTGTGATAAAACGCATGACGCACCAGTCAGAGAGAGGTTCCAGGCACTGTAACAAAACCATCGTTATCGAATGAATAGTACATAACTATTCACCGATTCCATTCATTTGAAAGTGCGCTCCATGGCCTCACCTAGAGCTTCCAGCCTCTGGATCACGCCGGCTTTGCGGAGGAACTTTGGAGCCTCTTCTACGCCTTTCTTCCGCTGCGAAACAGAAGCGAGGTCATACAAGTATTAGGTCAGTATACTTTTGTCAAGGTGCCAGAACGCAAAGGCTGATTCACACACTTGCGTCTGTCCGTGACCTAAGGCGATGTGATAATGTATAGCCGCTTAACACTAGTGTGTCTAGATTACAGGGTGTTTCTAAATGCTCGCTCGTGATCAGGTGGATTACATGACAATAGGAAAAACAGCGGGCAATAAAACAAGGTCAACATAGAAGAAGTGCGCACAGGACAAGCACTTACTCTCAACTGAACTTTAATAAAAGCAAAATCAGCAACACCGAACACATTATGGGGTGGTCACTCAATACAGTATCTAAAAAGTCAGACTTTTTGCCGTGTAAATGCAGCTACTTCTGGCTGACGATTTTCGTGCCTCTTTGATATTTCATAGTCTTCTAAAATTTCCCTTACCGATCATCTCGTGTCTTTTTAAAAATGGTTCGACAACCATCAGCTAGCAACCGTTCCCACTTACGATTGTAAGGACAAGTCATGCGTCCGCAATCTGTGGTTAACACATATGCCCGTTTGCCCAATATAGGTTCTTTTACACGAAGGCGAAATTTCGTAAACAACTCGAACCTTGCAGTCAACATAGTGGTTTTCTCACTTTACCGAGCAAGTGGGGCCATTACCTTCCCCATTCGCAACTTATTCGCGTAATGTTGGATGGTTTTAGAAACTTCCTCCGCGCTTACTTTGTTATTTCACAAATCACTGGTGGCAGTCGTCAGTGGCATCCACGACACCGACCACGACAGCTACGAGAATTAACCACGTCGTACCACGGTCCTTTGTTACGTGACGGCACAGTGCCACCCGCACAGCGCGACCATACTACAGCTGTCGCTTTCGTTTCTTCGCACATTGTGGAAGAAACATATGACTTTTTTTCCTACGCGTGATTCTTTTAGCCGGTGTTAGACAACTAATAAAAAAGACGACAAGCAGCGTGACAATGCACTTTTCGCGCTTTGTTTTTTGAGTCTATCGGATCGCAGCACCTTTGGTTGCGGTCAGATTTAATCTAGAGCGGAGTGTAAGCAAGACCATAGCCTCCTTTATACTCACAAAGCCTGGCAGTTCGACGTCGGAGCCATAGAATAACCGGTCGCAGATTTGGAGCGCGAGGGTCTGGTAGCACAGAGCATCACAGAACCATTTATTTTCCCCGGGGAACCTGGACGGTCAGCGCATAGCTTTTGCAGCGGCGAGGACCCGAAACACACTTGTTCGCTCGGGACGAGTGTGTTTCGGTGTCTCGCCGCAGCGGGGCGCCAGTCACGTGGCTCTCCTCTCATTCGTAAAGCACTTCTATCCTGGCAGAAGTGGCGCCATTTGCCGCGCGCGCAGCTGGCCAAGTAGGCGGCGCGCGCGTGGCCTAACGGTTATCGCGCTTGCCTCCCACGCGAAAAGCTAGGGTTCGAATCCTGGGAGTGACGTGTCTTTTGTTTATTCCTGCAATTTAGTGTTCTGGAGAATTCGAGAATCATGTTGCTTGTTCCAGGCCCGAATGTTCTACGCGTCGAAGTTTCTGCGCCGATTATTCCAGAAGACCACTCATGTACATAAGGGGCTCCGCGTGGCGAGCCACAGTCAGTCTCGCTCCAGCGCTCGATCCTGCGGTTTCGCCGACTTCGACGCCCGCGACGCTTTGTTATTATCTTTTGTACTCTTTTATTTTTGGCACAAGTTCGCCACATTAAACATTTATTTCTTCCTGTTCATCTATTGTTTTTGGTCACCACCCGTGACATATTGGTGGAGGTGCGGGGTAACGCATGCCCGTGCAGCGTTCCCCTCCGAGGGTTCGCAGTGCTAGTCCGACGCCAAGCCCACGAAGAACCGACGAAGGCACTACCGAGATCCGGTTAAGTCGTCGCACTCAAGGCCTACACCCGGAATTCGGACTTCTGCCGCCCAGGACCAAGCAGCCAACGAAGCCGACGATGGCCGACCAGTCGCCGACCCCCGCCGCTCCTGCCGTCGTCTACCTGCCCGCCGCTCCCCGTACGCCGACTCCCTTCCACGGTGAGATCCATGAGGATGTCGAAGACTGGATCAAGCACTACGAGCGTGTGGCGCGGCACAACGGATGGACTGCGGAGCAGTGCCTCCAGAACCTCTACTTTTCGCTGGAGGGTACTGCGAGGCATTGGTTCGAGAATCACGAGGCTTCGCTTACGTCGTGGGACATCTGTGTGGCCGAGTTGCAGCGGACGTTCGCCACCCTACACCGACGGGAGAAGGCAGAAGATCTCCTCCGAATGCGAATGCAGGGCCCCGACGAAAGCGTCACAAGCTTCGTAGAAGATGTCCTCCGCCTGAGCGCCCGTGCCGACCCACGAGCCACAGACGACAAGAAGCTGCGGGTCCTCATGCGCGGGGTGAGAGACGACATCTTTGGAGGCCTCGTGCGCAACCCGCCGGGCACCGTCGAAGCCTTCGTCACCGAGGCGACAAACATCGAGCGCGCCCTCCAAGCGCGCGCTTCACACTACCAGCGACATCCAAGTGTCGCTGCAACCGCGCTGCTTGGCGGCGAGAACGCTCCCGGCACGGACATCCGCGAAATTATCCGGGAAGTCGTCCGGGAAGAAATCCGCAAGATGCTCCCCGCTATGGATCGCCCGTCCTCCCTGTCGCTCGCCGAGGTCGTGCGAGATGAAGTTCACCGGGCCTTCCAACCTGAGGTTCCGATCAACATGACGACGCCAGAGGAACCGACGTTGAGCTACGCTGCCATAGCCCGACGACCGCCGCAAGCTCCCCGCCAAGCCGCGGCGCCATCCCGAAGAGACGCCCCAACGCCGCAGTATCCCCGACGACAGGAAGATCAGGCGCACGTTCACCCAGACCGACCTGCGCCGAGGAAGACAGACGTCTGGAGGACGGCCGACCGACGCCCGCTGTGTTACCACTGCGGGGAAGCTGATCATGTGTACCGCCGATGCCCTTACCGACGACTCGGGCTGCGCGGATTCCACCCAAGCGACCCGCGCCCCAGGTATGGTGAACGCCCTCGGGAGATCGTTTATTTCTTCCTGTTCATCTATTGTTTTTGGTCACCACCCGTGACACATTTATTGTTGTGGAAATGCTCAAGACACGTGGCGCGCGCCACTTCTGGGAAGAACATGGTGTATGAAAATCTCGCACAGTGCTGGGCTATGACGCCATGATCTCTCCAAGGGCTGCACGTTGCACGTGCGTCGTCCATCAACGCACATTGCGCTACTTTTGTAAGATGAAGGGGCTTTACTCATCCGTTGTCTGCCGCTCCACCTTGCCCATCTCGGTGGCCGCTTCTCGTGGCGGTCTGCGAGGCTTTGTCGGTATATAGGAGGCTATGGCAAGACCGTCAAGCCCACACGCGCAGCTGCCTTTGAATGCCTTTGTCTGCCTTGTGCCTGCGAGTGACCTAGACCTTCGTGCCTCGTATGCCGTGCGCCAAGCGTTGAACCGGTTGCCACGCTTCCTACGAAGCACAGATGACCCGGTGACTCACGCGTAGTACTTCAGTGAAAGCGTCATATTTACAACTGTGCCCGTGGAACTTTCTACGGCATTTTCGACTAGAAGAGGAGTGCGCGTGCATAGCTTTTGTCAGCGTTCGTGCAAGCGCTATAGGTGCCTATAACCGTGTAGCTACAAAAGTTTTTCTACGAGTGACACCGGAAATATCGCCGTTCTCAGAACGTACATCAACCACCAGGGAGACGATCAGTTCCGTATGTATAGCAGACCCGTCAAATGATGAAGTTGTAGACACTGGCGAAAGCGGAATCATAAGGATTTGTCTAACCTTTGTTCGTTGGAATGCTCGTTGTTCAATTATAATTATTTACTCGCACGATATCACCTCTAACTGCGTCGGCATGAACGCAGTCCTACAAGACAAGAAACAAGGCACGAATCACCACCGAAAATCATTGTTGGGTGTAGCGCGTCATTAGTAACGACCTTACTAGTAACCCGTTGCGTTGTGTTTTAGTGACCTACTTTCGTACTCGTTCGTTTTTAAATTACTAACGACTAAAATATTTTTGTTACTGCTCTAGACTATTGCCTATCAATTTATGTTACTCGTTGCATTTGATTAATATTTTTAATTCGTTAGCATTAGCACTCACATGACATAGAAAACCTCACGGCGACCGGTATGTGCAAAGCGTGGAAAGGGAAGCGCACCGCGTAGAGAGGAGGAAAGTAGTGAAGGTCAACGGCGAGAGGCAAGTGACGTCATGGGGCGGAAGCCAATGCGCGCGCGGTTGCCGGGGCGAGTCTCAACTTGCCGGTGTGCGGGGCGCGTATACCTTGGTTTGTGCTACAAAATGGAGTGTGAGCCAAGCACTAGCGCCGGTCCAGGTAGGCTGCCAACGAAGACGAATTGTCATCGAAGGAGACGGGCTGCCGAAAGCCGTGAACAGTGCAAGCATCGTCAGGGCAGCGGGTGCCGCTGGCGTTTTCCAAGGATAATCTAACACATTCCGTATAAATCCACCAATAGACCATCCTTATTTTTTTCAGATTAATAATATTAGTAAAGACAATAATGTTACTTCTTGTGTGCCTGAAAACAAGCAGCTAGTCTTCACTTTGATGTGCACACAGGATTTTCGTAAAAAAATAATTAAAGAACGAGTGCAACACTACCAACAACAAAAACAAAAAATATCAGGAACCGAACATAGACTCAATTCACAGTGGCAAAAAGCTTTTCCACCAGCTTCCTGAAAATAGCCAAGTCGCGGAAGGACTTTATCCCTGAATTAGAAAAGTTATTAAAAAGCGATTCTATGTGCGTTAAATGTGACGGAAAATACACATAGTATCAACATAAAAGACAATGATTTCCAATCCAACGATGTGACATGGATTATTCACGCCCGATGGCGTACTATTTTCTCCGATTTCGTTTACCGCATTGTACAAACACTTTAGATCACCGTTCTGATTGTTCATTATAAAAAA